TACTCCACTAGTTACAGGTTGCTATCTTGAAATGCCTCCTTTACCACAAATCTCTGTCTTCTGTTATTTAGGCAATCTTCTATCCATGATAATATACTACCCATGCTAGTATCTTTCTAGTCAGATTACACAAGGTTGCCAAATTATCAGGTGGTTTATTACAATTGGAAAAGCAAGTTATCCTAAGATAACATGTTAAAAATACACAAGTTAAACCAATTGCCACCAAGTTATAGGACATGTTTAAGCTAAAGGACTCTCAAACTTGATGGTTATTAAATACTTGTGTTGAATGAGCACGATGAGCAGATAGTTAGAGACAAATACCATTCAGAACACGATGTGACTGTGCCCTGAGAAGTTTAAATTACTGAATTTACTAACTTGGAGAGTTATGTTGGAATTTTCAAAGAGCAAGGATTAGGAATTTGCTGTTCTCATTAAAGCAGAATAATTTCCTTTCACACAGTATAAGTTGTATGTTTCAGACACTACCTTTGGCCAGCTCCACCCTCCCATTAGGAAAAATAATTATTTACTGGAATTGATCATTTTTTTGTGTGTTAACCTGTACAGCGACTGTTGACAAGTTGTTTGATCAAAGGACAAAAGTCACAGCTCAGCTCAATCCCACCCTGACACAAAGTTCACATGTGCATTTTCCAACAGGAGTAATTTCATTGCGATCAGCATCAAAAACCTACCTAAACCAATAAGGCAATATAGTCAAAAGCAACTAAGATCCAGCTAGCTCAGCAGAGTCTGGAAATGATCCTGGGACCTTCAACCATCAAAGCGAACATCTGTAAGTGCCAAATATATCCCCTTCCCCTACAAGGATGGTTTTGTAAATGTTTTTCACCTCTTTCCAAACATCAAACTGTTGATGATGTCAATGTCATGACAAGATTTTGCCATTAGTGAGAAGGTGCTTTCCTGCTCATTTCTCCAATTCCCTCGAACAAACGAGTGAGCAAAGTGATAAAAACCAACCTAGGATAAGGAGGAAAAGCAATGATTCTCATCTCACCAATAAAACATAGTGTTTGCATTCAAAAAAACATTGAGATCCTCCTGGCTTTCTATTTGCTCCATGTGATTTGTAGTAATCAATCGGATCAAGTGTCACAAATCAGACTTCTGGATTCTTGAAAAACAAGGGACCCATTTTTACGCAAATGGAGCCAGGTTTCCTCAACTGAAACTCGCTGAATTGTTCTTTTAAAGTGCCACCAGAGATGTAATGGGTGAATGGCTTCCTTAATCAAGGAGCCAATATTATTTGTATGATATTATCTGTTGCATATTTTCAATTGTATGTTTTTTTTAAAAAACGTGTTCTCCATGAGCAATCCTAAAAGAAAATAACTTGAGTCCAATTTAGTTGGATTTTTGTCACTTTAAAAATATTAGTTTACAATAGTGAAACTAGAAAAGTAATAGGAGCAATGAATTAGTTTCTCTTTGCTATTGACCCAAGCCTTGATTTAAACCTTTCTTGTTGGATACTGTGTATTTGCTGTGACCTGTATTGGTAGCCAACAAGTGTATCTGTTTCAAAAGCAAGCTGAAATAGATAACAGAAAACAAAAGGCTTGAATTAACACAAAAGGAGAAAAAGCATTGTTTCTAAGTAGGAAAATGAGTTAGCAAATATAGGGCTGAAAGAAGAAACGATAGAAAATATCACAAAAAAAAGAAAATATAGAGCAAAAGGAGAATCCAAACCATCCTATACAGAAATTTAGAATATTAACAGAAAATCAATCTCTGGCATTGTCCATAGCCTAGTAGGCAGAAGCAATAGATTATACAGAACAAAGGTTCCAAATTTGAGTCCTAGTCTACACTGAATTAGCTGAGTCAATATAAGAAGATTGCGCCAACTCTTGGATCGCGTAGGTGGATCACTTGTTTAAATAACGTACTGACAATTACTGTCCAAGTTTACATATGAAGATGTCCACTTGGTCAAGGTATCAGGGATTTGTCAGTAGGTATAAAATCCCCTATCTCTGGAATTAAAGGGAACAGCTATAGGGAGAATTCAACCTTCTCAGAAATGACTTAAACTATATTACTTCATCCACATTTTTGTTATGCCTTTACTAGTACTAAAAACCTGAGTCGTATTTGAGCCCAATTGGCATTCATGGCTGGAAAATTAGATACTCCTTCCCAGAAATGGATCATGGCAGAGAGATCCATATCAGCACTTTATCAATATACTTAAAATATCTCATTCAAACATTGTGCATTCAACATCAACCATGCCTCCCCACCTCCCTGCCAATCTCTACCCCACTTCGTTCCCCATCTGTCATGCATGCTTGTCTCTAGGGAGAGACAATGACACTATGCTCCACAGTCAATTACTTATAGAACATAGTAACTTACTATAAAGATGTATCATGTGACTACATACATAACTCTTGAATACATACATAAGCCTTGAGTCAAAGGAATCTGGACTGGGGACTAACACATAAATTATGTAAAAACGCCTGTGCAGATATCTACTGGACATCACAGGTGTAATCTTTTAAATAAGAAATTAAACAGACCGGTGTTCAATAGTAATTGATAGATGTTAAAGATCTCATGGAACTAGCTGAAGAACAGCCGGGAGTTGTTCTTGTGCCCTGCACAATATCCTTATCTCAGCTAACACCACCAAAAAAGACAATGAACATCAAATAGTATGGAAGGTTGACAAAGCTGAAAGCTTTAGGTGTTATTAATCACCTGTTCAGGCAAGTTGTGTCATACCTCTAGAGCATATGGGACTTGAACCCAGCCTTCTGCCTTTACACTAACAAAACAAATTCAAAAAGCTCCATACTCTTTCAGTTAAATATTTCTTAAGTGGGCAGGGAAGGAAAGTTTAAATCAAGAATATTCTCTTAATCTTTTTAATACTGAGTTATTCTTAGCTGGAAATTGATATCAGCTGTTTTTGGCCAAATTCAAACAAGTGAGAATATCTTCCAGACTGCATGGTGAGACCTTGAACGATTAGAGAAAAAAAGGGCTATTTTCACTGAAAAAGCATGGTCTGCAATATTAGTTTACAATTAATTTGCAATTTGTACTTTGCCTATTATTTTGATGGATCTAATGAAACTAATGATGACCATAATCTGTTTATTTCAAGTTAAGTAATTTCAAAAACATTCTAACTCATTAATGTAATAACAGTAATGAATAGGCATCAGAATTAAAAAAAAACATTTTTAAAATATTACATGAAGTGTACAACACAAGTACAAGTCAATGATTTAGAACAAAATAGAAACTGAAATTAACATGAAAAGAGGAAAGAAAATGAGTCAAATGTTCTCAATGTGAAAATCAGTTATGTTTCAGTGTCGCAGTGAGTAAAACTTCCTGTCATTGCTTGGATGGAAGTGTTAATCAAATAAACTCAAGTCATCGCATTATACTTTTAACCACATTTTTAATTACAAAGAGAGTGTTTTTTAAAATGTTCAAAGAATGACCACACACACTATGTTTTTTTTCCAAACATTTATTTGCTTAAACACAAACTGGCAAAACAGCCTCATTAGAAACTCTTGGTTACATCATGCTGGAATTATTCAGCTATCTTATTTCAACAAGATCAACACATAAAAGGATAAGATTCTGAGGAACAAAAGGATGAAATTCTAAAGCATATAGGAAATTAGGCAGGAATTTATAAAGGTGGTCCTCCAGAGTAGTAATATCTAGATTACTCCCAAAGCCACAAGCTAGTGAGGGTAGGAATAGGAGGATGGAGCAGATGAATGCATGGCTGAGGAACTGGTGCAAGGGAGAAAGATTCACATTGTTGCAGCATTGGAATCTCTTCTGGGGTAGAAGTGACCTGTAATAAAAAGGACAGATTGCACCCGATTTGGAAGGGGTCTAATATACTGGTGGGGACACTTGCTAGAGCTGCTCAGAGGATTTAAACTAGTAATGGTGGGGTGGGACCCAAGGAGATAGTGAGGAAAGAGATCAGTCTGAGACTGGTACAGTTGAGGAAAGACGCAAAATCAAACAGTCAGGGCAGGCAGGAACAAAAACAGAGACTGAGGTAAGACTGATAAATTAAACTGCATTTATTTCATTACAAGATGCCTAACAGGTGAGGCAGATGAACTCAGGTCACGGTTGGGAATATGGGACTGGGATATCACAGCAATCACAGAGACGTGGCTCAGGGATGGACAGGACTGGCAACTTAATGTTCCAGGGCATAGATGCTATAGGAAGGATATAAAGGGGGGAAAGAGAGAAGTGTGAGTGGCATTTTCGATTAGGGATAACATTACGGCTGTACTTAGGAAGGATACTCCTGGGAATATGTCTAGGGTAGTTATTTGGATGGAACGCAGAAATAAGAAAGGGATAATCACCTTACTGGGAACGCACTGTAGATCCCCCCCCCACAATAGTCAGCGGTAAATTGAGAAACAAATTTGTAAGGAGATCTCCGTTATCTGTAAGGTTAAGGTAAGGGATTTTAACTTTCCAAACATAGACTGGGACTACCATAGTGTTAAAGGATTGGATGGAGAGGAATTTGTTTAGTGTGTACAAGAAATTTTTCTGATTCAGTATGTGGATGGACCTACTACAGAAGGTGCAAAAAACTTGACCTACTCTTGAGAAATAAGGCAGGGCAGGTGACTGAGGTGTTCACTGGGGGAACACTTTGGGGCCAGCAACCATAATTCTATTAGTTTTAAAATAGTGATGGAGAAGGATAGACCGGATCAAAATTTAACTGGAGGAAGGCCAACTTTGGTGGTGTTAGGCAAGAACTTTCAAAAGGTGATTGGGTCGGATGTTTGCAGGTAAAGGGACAGCTGGAAAATGGGAAGCCTTCAACAATGAGATAACCAGAGTCCAGGAACAGTATGTTCTTGCCAGGGTGAAAGGCAAAGCTGGTAGCTGGAGGGAACGCTGGATGACTAGCAAAATCGAGGTTATGGTCAAGAAAAAGAAGGATGCATATGTCAGGTATAGACAGCAGAGATCGAGTGAATCCTTAGAAGAGTACAAAGGCAGCAGAGATACATAACAGGGAAATCCGGAGAGCAAAATGGGAATATGAGATAGCCTTGGCAAATAGGGTTAAGGAGATCAAATTTTTGGCAAAGATATGTAGCTCAGGTTGTGGGTGAGGTTGTTGACTTACTCGCCAAGCTGGCTTGTTCTCGTCAGCGAGCAAGTCAACAACCGCAGGGTTAAGGAGAATCCAAAAGGATTTTATAAATACATTAGGGACAAAAGGGTAACTTGGTAGAGAATAGGACCGCTTAAAGATCAGCAGGGCTGCCTATATATGGAACCATAGGACATGGGGGAAGATACTAAACAAGTATTTTGCACCAGTATTTACTGTGGAGAAGGATATGGAAGATATAGAATGTGGGGAAATAGATAGCGACATCTTGAAAAATGTTCATATTTCAGAGGTGATGGCGCTGGACATCTTAAAACACAAAGTTGGATAAATCCCCAGGACCTGATCAGGTGTACGCTAGAACTCTGTGGGAAGGTAAGGAAGTGATTGCTGGGCCCCTTGCTGAGATATTTGTATCATCGATAGATACATGTGAGGTGCTGGAAGACTGGATATTGGCTAACATGGTGCCACTATTTAAGAAAGGTGCTAAGGAAAAGCCAGGGAACTATAAATTGGTAAGCCTGACATCAGTGGTGGGCAAGTTGTTGGAGGGAATCCTGAGGGACAGGATATACATGTATTTGGAAAGTCAAGGACTGATAAGCGACAGTAAGCATGGCTTTGTGCATGGGAAGTCATGTCTCACTCACTTGCATTATTGAAGAATAACGAAGAGGATTGATGAGGGCAGAGTGGCGAATGTGATCTATATGGACTTCAGTAAGGCATTCAACAAGCCTCCTCCTGGTAGACTGGTTAGCAAGGTTAAATGACATGAAATACAGGGAGAACTAGCCACTTGGATACAGAACTGGCTCGAAGGTAGAAGAAAGAGGGTAGTGTTGGAGGCCTGTGACCAGTGATGTGACACCAGGATCAGTGCTGGGTCCACTGCTTTATGTCTTTTGTATAAATGATTTTGATGTGAACATTGGAGGTACGGTTAGGAAGTTTGCAGATGACAACAAAATTGGAGGTGTAGTGAACAGCCGAGAAGGTTACCTCAGAGTACAATGGGATCTTGATCAGATGGGCCAATGGGCTGAGGAATGGCAGATGCAGTTTAATTTGGATAAATGTGAGGTGCTGCATTTTGGAAAAGCAAATCAAGGCCGGACTTGTACACTTAATGGTAAGGCCCTGGGAAGCGTTGCTGAACAAAGAGACCTTGGAGTGCAGATTCATAGTTCCTTGAAAGTGGAGTCACAGGTAGATAGGATAACGAAGAAGGCATTTGCTATGCTTGCATTTATTGGATACTGCATTGAGTATAGGATTTAAGAGGTCATATTGCAGCTATACATGTCATTGGTTGGCCCACTTTTGGAACACTGTGTTCAATTCTGGCCACCCTGCTACAAGAAGGATGTTGTGAAACTTGAAAGTTCAGAAAAGATTTTCAAGGATGTTGCCATGGTTGAAAGGTTTAAGCTATAGGCAGAGGCTGAATAGGCTGGGGCTATTTTCGCTGCAGTATCAATGGCTAAGGGGTGACCTTAGAGGTTTATAAAATCATGAGGGGCATGGATAGGGTAAATAGACAAGGTCTTTTCTCTGGGGTGGAGGAGTCCAAAGCTAGAGGGCATAGGTTTAAGGTGAGAGGGGAAAGATTTAAAAGGGACCTAAGGGGCAACTTTTTCATGCAGAGGGTGATGCATGTATGGAATGAGCTGCCAGAGGAAGTGGTGGAGGCTGGTACAATTACAACATTTAAAAGGCATCTGGATGGGTATATGAATGGGAAGGGGTTAGGGGGATATGGGCCAAATGCTAGCAAATGGGACTAGATTTATCTAGGATATCTGGTCAGCATGGAAGAGTTGGGCTGAAGGGTCTGTTTCCATACTGTACATCTCTATGATTCTATGTATTTAGATATAAAAGTGGAAATAGAAACTTCTTGATAAAATTATTGATTTCAACCAAGAATGGTGGAATTTCTCATTTGCTGGAGAAGTGCAAATCACAAGGAAAATGACAATTTCTCTTTCATACCTGTTGAGTACTTCTTCTCACACGAGCATGCTAACACTGGTTAGGATACAATGCTGTTGGTGGAAAGACATTCCAGAATGCCACTGGGGCTCTGCAAACATGGAGGCACATCACATCCAAACGCGTTTCCATCCTCACCTGATATCCACATAACAGAAGGGACTGCTGGAAATTAATCCAAAGGTGGAAATCTGGATTTTCTTTCGATTTTAAGTCAGGAGGCTGAGGTCAATGACTAGTAGTATTCCAGAGGAGATTATTAAACAAACAGAGCAGGATTACATCTGGCACCTTCCTGGTCTGTTACACATTAGTTGATGCATTCGTCCATTAAGGCATCAAGGAACCACAAAATCCATGTGGTAATTTGTCTGTCATATGAGGTTGTCAGATAAATCTTTACTCAAACATGCCATTTCAGTTATATTTATTTTGAAAATCATTTTTGTGGAATAAAGTAGGAAGCTGGTTATTACTCATTTAAAAAAAGAAAACGCTGGAAGTAATTGGCAGGTAAGCAACTTCCTTAGAATTAGAACAGATTCTCGTCAATCTGAAATATTTTCTTTGGTGCTGGCTGACCTGCTGAGTGCTTTCAGCATTTTCTGTTTATATTTGAGATTTCCAGCATCCATCACATTTTGGAGTTGAATTCATTCAGAACCAGTTGCACACTGCAATAATATATCTTTTTCAAATAACACATGTACAGTATTAGAATAGCAAAAACTTATCAGAACTAAACTTAAACAAATTCCATCATTCATTACTGCTGAAACAACATCTATAGAAGATGTACAATAATTTGAAACAAATTCTTTAACTTACCAACGTACAGATTGTGATAAAAATGTCAGTTTTCACTTAGCTTTTGGGGAGAAGACACTATCAAGATTCTTTATATAACTTTGCTGCTCATAGTGAACCATACCAAGATTTAGAATATTTCAGGTTAGGTTGGTTGCTTTTACAAATACCTTCCAAGAAATTATTTTCCCGTAGATATGTTTGGGGGTGAACACAACGTTTTAAGAATTAATGGCACAGAAGCCTAAATAAATCATTTTTTGAGATTTCAAAATGAGCAGAATTCTTCACAAATAATATGCAGCTTTTTCATATCTAAATTTGTAGAACAAATTGTTAAGCTGCATTTAAAAGGGTAATGCACAATATTGTCACCTAAACAGGCAAGTAAATTTAAGTTGTGTCTATAAAAGATTACTGTACATATGTTAGTTCTGACAAAGATATGATCCTTACCGCGTTCACAACCGGCAGACTTTTCAACTTTGAATCCGTCATAACAAGATGACAGCAGATAACATCCACGCTCAACCAACAACTGCTTCATAAATACTGCAGCAGCCCCTGCCATCATCTCCATATCCAGGTCTGCAGATACATGGGTGTCGATATAACGTTCATCACATGAAAAAAGTACACCGAATGAATAGGATTGGGGGCGGTGAAAAAGATTATATGGACGAAAAAAAAATGAAAGATCAAATATTAAAATGTTAAGGGATATGATTTTTAAAAGCTATTTTGCAGGTTTTTAAAGAAAAAGTGTATTTAACATCTCACAAATGCATTTTTATAAAATAAAATTGGTACACTTTTGTCATGAAATCAGCTTTTCATTGATTTAGAGGCTTTTAGAATAGGCAATTGCCGTGTCCCAGTCATGGGTTCAACAATGAAGGCTGACTGGCCGTTTAATTATAACGAAACAGCCAGCAAGGGGACGTGAGGCACTGTACAGCAATGTACTCACTCACAGGTTCCAGATGTTGCAAATGGACCACTTCCCCGATCACTCCCTGGCATAGCAGCTCCTGTATAAATAGATCGTGACGTCACAGGTCTCATTTGCAACTTCCAATCCGCGCCCCGTCTGCCACACACATCACTCCCACCAGCAGCCTATCGAAGGGTAGCATGTAAATGACCAGCGAAGCAGGCCGCCCCTGCGCCGCAGTTCTGGTGTCCCCTTCACAACAATGTTCTTAGCCCCACCGCGACACAAAACCTATCCCCCTTCACAACAATGTTCTTAGCCCCACCCCGACACAAAACCTATAACAGCTAATGAAGGTCCTTCTCGTCGATTCCGTGTTGGTCGGGAACAGGGATGAAAATTCCTTTTTTTAAAAATAGACCAAGAATTCAGACATTAAATAGGCTACCCAGAAATAATCTTATACCTCAAACGTGCACTGGGTTTCTACAGAAAACAGCCTGCGTTCACACGGACACAACTGAAACACCAAAGGCAATGTGCTCGATTTTTTTGTCCGCCATTACACGAAGGTTCAAAAACATTCTTGTTTAGCCGAACCGCTTGTAGTTAAATCTGAGACAACAAGGTGCAGGGCTGGATGAACACAGCAGGCCAAGTTTATCGCTTTTTAAAAACTTGTTCTTGCTTACAGAAATAAAAACATTAGAGTGGCAAATAATGCAAACAGGAATATATAAAAAGCAAGATTACGCAACATCACTTTCCACTGCGAAAATGCTTTACCATAGACATTGACAAATCTGGAAGGTTATTTATTGTAACCTAAAGGTACTTTCCACAAAAGATTATATGAATGTCCTTTGAAATCGTGTACAAGTATAATCGCTGTAAAGTAACATCATCTTGATAAAGAATCTCTATCCGAACGGGTAAGATTTATTTTAAGATACTGAAAGATTACACTTTCTATTTCAGATCTGGAGAATTTTCCAGTTTTTATCCTGACAATAAAGCTGCAAAATAGTTCATTTGGGGTAGACCAAGGGTTCACTTGCAGTTTTGTTACTGAATCGTTTTACAAGTGTCTTTTACTAAAAGAAACACTGCTTTTCACAATCACGAAGTCTCGTAATACTCGAAGTACTTTTAGAGTGTAGTCAGTGTGGTAATATGGGAACATAATTGGACTTCAAGATATTTAGGTAACAAACGAATCCGAATAGATTCATTTCTAAATTTTTGGAACTTTGTGCTTATTCTTTTGTTCAGCCTTCAGTTTTTTTCCAACTTATAAAATATTACTGCCAGACGGTATATGTGGAGGTATAAAGTAGGGTCCAGACCCGAAACGTCCACTTTCGAATTCCTCCGATGCTGTCTGACCTGCTGTGCTTCTCCAATTCCACATTTTATCGACTCTGTCTTCCAGCATCTGCAGTCCTTTCTATCTCCTAAAGAAAAATCTCTATTTGTACAGTATCTTTCAAGACCTCAGGATTTTCCAAAATATTTTACAATCAACGAAGTACTTTTGAAGCATTGTTGTGATATGGAGAAATGAGTTTGGGGAGGATACATTAGGTAAACTGTTACAATAAAAAAAACACACAACATTTAAATAACTATTTCCAGATGGGATGTTTCTTAAATTCTATGAGGTAATGATATAGGTATCAGTAAATTATCTTTTCATTGAAACCACTGCTATAACCGAATGATATGAAACACAGAATTAGCCAAGCATCTATAGAACTTAGAGTTAATTTAGTCTAGAATGTATCCATATTCTGAAGACACAAATGAAAACATCAGAAAATCTAGCTTTTTCTGGCCACCAGCTTTCTTGAATCTAGCAAGTTTACATTCAGGTGTATATCCTATACATTGGGAGCCAATACCACTAGCATGGGCCTTAGTATGGCAAAACAGTAGCTAATAACGAACTGATGTAAACATGAGCAGCTTGTAACTGGACAAGTGTGATGGGCTTGGCTTGTCTGTTGTTAGATTAATGACTAATTTCCTTAGAAAGTAATCTATTAGGTCCGAGCTGAGAAAGCATCTCATGGAACATCATGAGATGGTGGGATTATGTAACAAGATGAGTGTCAACAGACAGACAGCTGTAGAACTGGCAGATAAGAGAGAGAGTAATGTCTTGTAAATGTCTCCAGGCAGCCTGGTTTTGATGACAGACTGATTGGGCATCTCAAATACTGCAGTCAAGCCTGACTAAGCTTAGCTGTTCTTTACCAGTTATTTTCTTGCTCAGTGCTTCTCCTTTCTCATGTGTATCCCTGGCATGATTTGTCTATTAAAAATATATGACAAATAACAACACTACAGTAACTATTTGAAAATTTGACAGCATCTTTTGAAATATTCAAACCTAAATATAGGTTTGAACAAAATGCCTACAGCATATCTATTTTTGCATTTGATTAAAGTTCTCTTGGATTTTAGTAAAATTAGCAAAGGCTCCTTCATAGTTCAAGAGTATAAGTATAACCTTATGTGATATTTCAGTCATAATAGCCACATAAACCTTAGGATGGGATCCTTGATCTGTATTAACAAGGCCTTTTTACATTCTTATAGCATGTTCAATCCAGAAAAGCATTCCAAGGAACTTCAAAAAGGCATAGACAAAAACAGGCTCCAAATTAAATAAAGTGAGATTAGGGTTTGTCAAAAAGTTGGGATATTAAAGGAGGCCTTAAAGTACAACAGGGAATTGGAAAGCTTGAGAGGTCTTGCAATGGAATTCCAGAACATGGAGCCTAGAGATCCAAAGGCACAAGCAACAAGAAAGGGGTGGGCAGGGGCAGGGGGATGCACAAGAATCTAGATTCAGAAGAACAGAAGAACTATGGAAGGGATGTTACAGGTTTGCAAATGGTTACGGACATGGAGTACTAGCAGTATTAAGTTAACTGGTGTCAGTAAGGGGAGAAAGGTTACAATGATTGAGCCCAATACCATAACAATGGAATGAAAATGCAGCTGCTGGTTTATTTATTTTCACTTCAGTGTAATAATGGTGTACCATCTAGTCAGAGATGCTACCTTTAAGATGGGCTATTAAATCAAACTTCAACTTAATTTCCTGCAGACATCTTTTACTTATTAACACGATAATCAACACAAACACACTAAAACACATTATCAGGCTACTAACCTCATTTGCAATTGTGGGTCCAGCTGTACCTAATTGTCAGGAATATTTGTCTTATGACAACAGTAACAGCACTTCATATAACAATTTTTTCTAATGTTTTAGGACATCCTGACGTTCTGATAAGGAACTACAAAAAAGCTAGACAGCAGTTCTTTAGTTTTTGTTGCCTCGTGCGTGAGGATTCCCTAACAAAACAACCTTTATATTAAAAATGGCCATGTTGATAATTTTGTAGCAAATATTTTGTCCTCTCTTTTGTGACCATAAACAAATGTAATAAAATATTTCTATACAAAACACTTTACCAAAAGCCTACTTCAAGAACATATACAATATGTGCGCTGTGTTTTAGGTTCCTTCTTGCTGTCATCAGTTCCTGGTAATTGCTGCGACGTTTTCTAATTCTTCATTTGTAAGTTAATTATTCTCATCTAATTACAGCAACAAAACCAAATTTGCTGCAAATACCAGGAAGCACTGCATGAAGAAGTGAAATTAGTGCAATCTCTCAGGATTCAGAACAATCTTACTCATACCAAAAACACACATCAAATAACTTTAAAAGCCTTAGAAGTAACAAATCAAAAACACTTTTCTCACAGTTCCAAAAAGCTGTATCACCAGAGTAGTTTACCAAATGAAACTCAGTGGTTTTTAACATATAGGTTCGAAAAATTAACTCTAAAGTCCATATCAATCAGACTCTGACATAGAGGAAAACTTTTTTTAAAATATATTTCATCTTCCTTGTTCTGAGAGGGTCCTATTTGCTTCTTAGCCAATTAAATAATGAAGAAGACAAATTCAGTCGCAGCGCTGTGCATGAATTCTCATAAACAAAGAGATAAATAATTCAATTGCAAATTCGTTTCCATTGTATTGGTTCAGGGATAAACGTTGGTCAGGGCACCAAATTAATTCCCCGGTCCTCTTTCAATAATATCATGGGATTTTATCTGGCCACCAGAACAGGCAAACAGAAGAAACCAATACTGTGTTGAAAAGTCTTCTACATTAGATGTTCAAGCACTGAAAGGGTCAAAAAAACCATGATCACAGAGTTGATATACTTGTCAGTCTTCCTGAGCTCCATTCGACACAAACACACTGGCTACAAGCGCAAATTAGAGAGTAGGAATTCTGCAGAAAGTAACTCACCCCTTGACTCCCAAAAGTCAGGAGTATGATGGCATACTTCCACTTGCCTGGATGAGTGCAGCTCCAATGACACTCAAGAAGCTTGACACCAAACAGTAAAAAGCAACCTGCTTAACTGGCACCACATCCACTCCCTCCACCACCAACTCAATAGCAGCAGTGTGTGTACTATCTACAAGACACACTGCAGAACTTTTCCAAAGATTCGCAGACAACCATGACTGCTTCCATCAAGGAGGACAAGGACAGAAGATACATGGGAACACCACAACCTGCAAGTTCCCCTCCCAGCCACTCACCATCCTGACTTGGAAATATATCGCTGTTCCTTCATTGTTGCTGGGTCAAAATCCCAAAATTTCCTCCCTCTGTGGGTCTACCGACAGTACATTGACTGCAGTGGTTCAAGAAGGCATCTGACCACCACTTTCTGAAGGACAACAAAGAATGAGCAACAAATGCTCGCCAGCCAGCGATGCCCATGTCCCACAAGTGAACAAAACTTTCCCAAAATTCCGTTTTCAGTAACAAACAAATTACTCAAATAGAAACAAAATGCTGTAAATGCTGGAAAATGGAAGCAAAAACAGAAACTGCTGGACAAAGGTCTGCACAACATATTGGGCTGAAGGGCCTGTACTGTGCTGTACTGTTCTATATTCTATGTTCTAAAGACAGCAGGTCTGGCAACATCTGTGGAGAGACTAACAGAGACTCTTCTTCACAGCTTAGGAAAGAGTCATATCAGACTTTAAATG